TGACCCAAGTGCAGAACCTTGCACTTGGCCTGTTGAACCTCATGAGGTTCTCTTGGACCCACTTCTCAAGCCTGTCCAGGTCCCTCTGGATGGCATCTATGGGATCAACTGCACCACTCAGCTCGGTGCCATCAGCAAACTTGCTGAGAGTGCACTCGATCCCACTACCCAGGTCATTGCTAAAGATGTTGAAGAGCACCCAGGTAAGTTGAAAAGGACCCAAAAGTCTGGTGATCTGGCCAAGCCAAGGGGCAGAGGTGACTGCTGAGTGACTCCCTTCAGGAAAAAAACCAGGGCAACCCCAGAAAGGTCATGGCTGGCCACTCACCATCAGGCTTTCCTTGTCCTTGTCATAGTGGGCCAACTTCTTCTGCAGCTCCGACAGCTGCTCCTGGGCCTGCTGCAGGGGCTCCTTCAGCTGCTTGTTCTGGAGCAGCACATCCATCTTCTCCTTTTCCAAGTGATTCTCTCTCTTCTTCATCTCCTCCATCTGCTCCTGTTCTTGGGAACACCAGTACCAAGTCCTGGGGGCTGCCCAGCTCCTCAGAGCTTCCCACACTGTCCAGACACCATCCCACTTCCAGCCCAGCGAGACACATCTCCCTGTACACAAGAGCTTCACTCGTGTAACGGTGCACAGCCCTCAGGAGAGCAGCAGCACCCACCCAGTGGGAACTGGCCAGATCTGGGTGAAATCCTGGCAGAACAGGTCCCTCAGGGAAGGGTGACACTCTGCAGTACCTTCAGCAAGTTGATGAGGGCCAGGTTTTTGATGGTGATATCGTTGTAGTAGTTCTTGATGTCATTGAAGGCCTTCTCGTGGTTCCTCATCAGCTCGCTGATCTGGCTGTTCTTCCTCTCCTCCACCTCGTGGATCTCCGTCTTCCTCTGCAAGTCGAGCTCATCCCGCAGCACTTGCATCTTCTTGGTGTATTTGGCCTCCATTTCTGGGGGAGTGGGCAGGGGGCTGAGCCAGGACCTCCTGGAGACCCCGTGTCACACGCCCTGTCAGTCTGTGCCACCCTGGCATTACTTGAGGACGAGATGCCCGTTAGTGGCGTCACCGCAGCTGCCACCAGCGAGCGGAGCAGTTACACTGGGACCACGGAGCCCAGAAATAGCATCCTCAGAAAGAGGGCATGGAAATGCTCCAAGTCAGCCTGTGAGGAGCTGAAATGTCTCCTGAGGAGGAGACTGGGGTGAGGACTCTGTGACAGCTCCTCTAGCCAGCCCACCCTGCAGCCTAAGGACGTGTTGCTGGGCGCACTTGGCCTGGCAGCGGTGACAGTCACCCTGCCCGCGCCCCACAGCTCACGCTACGGGCGCCTGGCCTCGTTCTGTTCACACAATGCTGGGGGTCTGGCAGCCCCAGAGCACGGGGGAGCAAGAACTGTGGGAAAACAAGTCAGAATTGGGGGAGAACCAACTAGAACTGTGTGAAAACCAGTCAGAACTGGGGGAAAAACAACTAAAACTGCGGGAAAAACAACTAGAACTGGGGGTAAAACAACCAGAACTGGGGAAGAACCAGTCAGAACTGGGGGAAAAGCAGCCCCCTTTCTGCTCGAGGTTCTGCTTGGGAGCCTGGCAGAGCTCGGAGGAGCCTTCCCTGCTGCACTGACAAAGGGGGCTTGTGCAGGGGTTACACACACGTCCTGACCTTTCAACTGTCTCTCAAAGTCGTTGCGCAGCCGGGTGATCTCCTCCTCTTGCTTCTGTCAGAGAGAAGCCACGTGTTAGAGGCAGACAACCAAATCCTGAGGGATTCCCTCCTGCTCCCCGGGAAAGGCTCCGGCCGTGGCACCAACTCCATGTTGTCGGTGCAAACGGCAGCTCTGCGGCTGCTCTCGCAGCTCCCTGGGGCGGGAGGGGAGGGGGGTTTCCCCAGGGAGCCCCTCTCCCCATTCCTGCACTGACTTTCTACCACCTCTAAGTGTGGCTGTTACTGGTCCCTGCGGGAAAGC